AATGTAACATTCATTAAACACTTGTTATGAATAAGCTGCAATATTATGAATAAGCTGAAAAACTGCAAACATTTTTTACTCAGAACTACGAAAAATTTTATTTTGAAACTATTATTTATAGGGATAATTTTCAGTTCATAATTAGACAATTAGCTTTTAAAACTGTATTTATTATCACAATTTTAGTAAATCGCTAAATTATTAAATTCTCCAAATAATTTTATAAACATCAATTATAATTCAGCATAAGTATATTGTAGAGGAGGGGAGGTGCCCCCGCCCTGCATCCCAGTTCCCCACAGTCTCGAGACCGACAGTCTCATAGTTAAATTTATACCATACATAACTTATTTTATTCCCTTATTATAGAAAAGTCAAATCGGGTAAGACAGGACCGAAATCACAAACAAGCCTGTAGCATCTATACCATGAATAACTAAAAAACCCTAAACCTATCACAAGGTGTATCTATGCAATGGGCTTCTAAGCTACAACTCAGGCCCCTTTCACACAGGGCAGTAAATACTGCCAGCGTCCGACAGTATTTACTGCCGAACCTTAGTGGACATACGAAATGTGCACTGCTGTTCACACACGACTGCTTTTACTGCGGCGTAGAACTTGACGCCAGACGCCAGCGTGTGTCGCGCTAAAACAGCGGCGGTAGATTTGTCGCGACAGTTTAGCTTGCAATGGTATTCAATGTAATCTTTCACACAGGGCGGTTTTTGACGCCACATCCTAGCAGACAGTGGTGCCGTATTTTAGGTTCATAATAAACAGCACTGCATGACATAGATTATAGCATAATATTATTACATAAATATCGGTACATAAATAATGTTACATAAACATAAAGATATACATTGATAAATATATATATCCTTGAAGTGATAGAGATATATTTCATATAAGATATATTTTCCATAAAATGCAGGTTTCGTTGAAGACCAGAGAGTATTTCTTATTGACAATTTTCTTATTATTTTTCTCGATTCGGCGAATTAGGCTCTTGATAGGAAGTGAAAATCCAAATATCAGGTTTCCAAGGGACATTTTATTATAATTTTACGACGTTTCGAATGCAACTTCATTCATTATCAAGTAGAGGACGAGTTTTGCAACAAGTGAATTTGAAATTTTTGAAATGACAATAGTACAAACATAGGGTATTATGGATACAGATTGGAATCAAAGCTTGAATTACGAGAACAATTTTAACGTCCTGGTAAATCCTGACATAAACTTTAGTGACAAGATGCAATGTTTGTCACTAAAGTTTACCGAAAACCTACTGACGTCGGAAGAGTACTGAACGAAGCAAGTGAATGTCCCCAGAGATACAAAACCAGCACTATTCGCGCCTTAATACGCAGAGCATTTAAAACCTGTACATCGGCCAGTGACTTGAGAACTGAACTCCAGACCTGCAAGCAAATTCTGGTAAACAACGGCTATGCGAATAAAACTATCGACAACGAAATCTCAAACTATCGAGCACGACAAAACCAAACGGAAAATGAACCAACATCAGACGAAAGTATTATAACAATTTATTACCAAAATCAGATGACAGAAGGCCACAAGACTGACGAAAGAGTCCTCAAATCAATCGTGCTAAATAACATCAGAAGCACGACCGCAGCCGACCGAATCAAACTCATGATTTACTATAAAAATATGAAAATCAAGAATTTAATAATGAAAAATAATCCGTGCAAAAAGTCGGGCCCATTACAACAAACTAATGTTATTTACAAATATTCCTGCCACAAAGAAGGTTGTAGACTTCTCCAGAACGTAAATTACATTGGTTTGACCAGCACGACTTTGAGCCGCCGCCTAACATGCCACCTCCAGAACGGAAGACCGAAGAACCACATGAGAGAGGCTCATAATGAGACCCTCACTCGCGCGACGTTGGAGACCCACACCAGAATCATCATGAGATGCCCAGACGCCACAAGACTGACGATAGCTGAGGCTCTCATCATCAAGCAGGAGTCTCCAGCTATTAATTTACAAGCTAACGGATTTGTCAGGACGTTAAAATTGTTCTCGTAATTCAAGCTTTGATTCCAATCTGTATCCATAATACCCTATGTTTGTACTATTGTCATTTCAAAAATTTCAAATTCACTTGTTGCAAAACTCGTCCTCTACTTGATAATGAATGAAGTTGCATTCGAAACATCGTAAAATTATAATAAAATGTCCCTTGGAAACCTGATATTTGGATTTTCACTTCCTATCAAGAGCCTAATTCGCCGAATCGAGAAAAATAATAAGAAAATTGTCAATAAGAAATACTCTCTGGTCTTCAACGAAACCTGCATTAAAGAACAGCTTCTGCCAAACTACACTAATGTTTCCATAAAATATATAGGTATTTCCATAGAGATGTATTTACATTATTCTCACGTAGAGATAGATTTCCATATGGAAATATTGTTACATAAAAATAGAGATGGACTGATGAAGCATAAAGCACTGCAAGACTGATAGATCCCAGCAGTAAAAAGCGCCTCGTGTGAAAGATTGCGATGTAAATACTGCCGCGGCATTTTTGATGCGCGCAGTATCTACAGCCCTGTGTGAAAGGGCTCTCAGACGTTTTGCATCTAACATAGTTTTCTGCACAGATTAAAAAAAGTGAGCTGGTCCCATCTTACCCATACTGGGGATGGGGTAAGATCCATCCCCCACCCATCTTACCCCCACTGGGGTAAGATGGGACCAGGCTGGGGTAAGACAGGACTGACTGGTAATTCTTTTGTTATAAGGTTTTTGATAAAAGTACAAACCTGATATTCAATATTATCCATCTAGAAACACATCATTCGATTAAACAACCACTTGTTACTGTTTTGTGTTGCGGGAAGTCAACTCTAATATCAGTCACACTCACATTTGAGTTTTTGTCATGAGAAAACTTTGTTAAGCATAGTAATAGTGGGTTGATAAAACTACGTCTGAACCGGATTCTGTTAACCTACAAGCACAAGAAATTGGTCGGCACTTAGTTATTGGTGGAACCTATAATGAAAGGAACCCGATGAAGTTATTACAATGAAGGCCAGTATGATTGTGGATTAGTCTCGGATAAAATCAGTGTTGCTAAGTTGGTTCCTGTTCAATAAACTGAGAAGTATTCTTATGAACTTTAAACTGAAAATTTGAGAAAAGTGCAATGGATGAGTCCATGTTCATTCGTGATGGCAAGGAGTTAGGTCTCAGTGACAGTGCCTTGTTGAAGTACGTGACTGAGCGGGTGAAGAGGGAGGAGGAGCGAATGAGGAGGGAAGAAGAGCGTATAGAAAAGGAAGAGCGTATAGAAAAGGAAGAGCGGCGAAGGAAAGAAGAGGCTGATCGAGAAGAAAGACTGCTTGCACGAGAAGAGAAGAAAAGAGAGCACAAACTACGTATGGCGGAACTTGAGATGGAGAGGACGCGAATTGGAACCAGCGTACCGAACCAGACTTCTGGACCTTCAAGATCCAACATAAAACTGAATCCTTTTAAGGAGGGGGAAGATGTGGCGGTGTTCTTACGAACTTTTGAACGAGTTAAGGAAGCCAATGGCTGGTCAGAAAGCATCGCTATTCCTGCATTGATGAATGGGTTCTCTAATACTAAGGTTGGGGTGTTTTTGGATACATTGCCACCTGAGTTGCCATATTCAGAGGTAAGAGATCTGATTGTGCAGAGTTTTGGTTTCAATATTTACGATTACCAGCGTAGATTTCATAGTGCTCGTCAAGCAGAGGAATCCTTTTCTCAGTTCATTTTGTATCTGAAGGAGAATCTTGCAAAGATGCAGGCTCTTGCCAATGTTGACAGTAATTTTGAGAAGTTGCAAGAATTAGTGATTAAAGATCAACTATTGTATTGCGTAGATAAAGGTCTTGCTGAATTTCTGAAGGAAAGAAATATTTTTCAAATGACTTTGGACGAGGTCGTTAAGATTGCTGATAATTATCAAGCGATTCACGGTAGACATTCAACCAAGTTGAAATTGAATTTGTCTAGTGTAACGCTAACTGATCATGCTTCAGGGGAGCGTAATTCAGAATCTGATAGATCTTGCCATATTTGTGGAAAAGTGGGACACATAGCTAAATTTTGTAAAGGGCGTGTGACCAGTAAACTGGAGCCTAAGACTGGATCTGTTAATGCCAATCTTACACGTGCTAAATGTTTTAAATGTGGAGCACCTGGGCATTTTGCTAAGAACTGTTGGGCCAGGCAGGGTGGATCTTTAGCAGATCAGAAGAAAAAGGATCCCACTGTTAACGTAAATTTTGCGATGAACAACAGCGTAAACTACAGTGGAAAGTTGCCACTTGTTCTTGGTACGTGCAATGGCAAGGACGTCAAGGTGCTAAGGGACACGGGATCGACGGCGGTTCTAGTCAAGTCTGATTTGATTGATCCGAGATCAGTGCAGAAAAACGAATCTGTTTGGCTGAAATTTGCTGATGGAAGTAAGATGGTGGCGAATAGAGCTATCATTGATCTTGATTGTGTATTTTTCTCTGGTCGTACGGTAGCAATTTGTGTACCTAAATTACCGTTTGATGTACTGGTAGGCAATGTGAATGGAGCGTCATGTGCATGTACGTCTAACATACCAGCTGATAATTCTGACTGTTCAAGTGTTGTTGGTGTAAGTGTTAGTTGTTATGTTCAGACGAGGAGTCAAACTCGCGCTGATGAGCAGTCTGAAGTTGTTCCTTCTCGGCCCAGTCGACCAGTACACATTGACATGGATACTTTGACGACGGCTGAAATCGTGCAAATGCAAAGATCTGATCCGAAGCTCAAGACATGCTTCCGAAAATCAATGGAAAATTCTACTAGCTTTCCAAAGTTTGAATTGCGTAATGATGTGTTAGTCAGATTGAGTTTGAAGAACAGGCAGGCCAGAGATGTAGTTAAACAGATTGTGTTACCATCATGTCTTGTTACGAAGGTTATGACACTAGCTCATGATACTATTATGTCCGGCCACGTAGGAATGCGTAAAACGCTGTTGCGTGTAATGCAGCATTTTTATTGGCCTGGGGTATATGCCGACGTGTCGAGATTTTGCAGGTCGTGTGACATTTGCCAGCGGAGCTCTATTGGTAAGCCTCCTAAAGTACCTTTAATTAACCTGCCGGTTATAAGCACTCCTTTTGAAAGAGTTGCTATTGATCTGATTGGACCATTGACAAAATCAAGGAAGGGCAACCGATTTGCCTTGGTCTCCATTGATCTTGCGACGAAATACCCGGATGCAGTTCCACTCAAGAGGATCGACAGCGAAACGATTGCCGAGGCACTCCTCGAAATCTACTCACGCGTGGGACTACCGAAAGAAATTCTGCATGATCAAGGGACCCAGTTCATGTCAGCAGTGATGCGCAAATTTAATCAATTACTACAAATAAAGAGCATCCATACAACGCCCTACAATCCACGATGCAATGGATCCGTCGAGAATTTTAATAAATCATTGAAACAGATGTTAAAGAAAATGACTGAAGAACAACCGGAAGATTGGGACCGTTATTTGCAACCATTATTGTTCGCGTACAGAGAAGTTCCTCAGTTGTCGACAGGCTTCGCTCCATTTGAACTCTTGTTCGGGCATGAAGTTCGTGGACCTTTATTTCTTATAAAGGAGAAAATTCTGAGCAATATGACAGATGAAGAAGAGCTGTCCGTGACGTCTTACGTAATGCAGATGAGACAACGAGTGAAGGAGTTCATGGAACTGGCCAACATCACGGAGGAAAGAAGTAAGAAGAAAGAGAAGTTTTACTATGACAGAACGTGCCGAAAGCGAACTTTTAAGGTCGGAGATGAGGTTTTGCTGCTGCTACCAACGTCAACCAATAAACTTCAGGCAGAGTGGAAGGGGCCGTTCGTTGTGGTTAGAAGACTCAATAAAGTAGACTACGTCATCAGAGTTGGGTCCAATGAACGAACTTACCACATCAACATGCTCAAACCATTCCGAACCCGAGAAGTGCCGAGTCAGGCGGGACGAATGGAAGTTAGTCAGTTGGCCGACACCACAGTTGGATTGGAACCGAAAATATCGAAGGAACTGACAACGGAACAGAAGAAACAAATGGAAACGCTGCTCGAAACCGAGAAAGCGGTGTTTAGTTCAGTTCCCGGTCAAATTGCAGGTCTGAAGTATCGTATATCGGTGAACACAGAGAAGCCTATAAGGATGCTTCCGTATAAGGTACCCTTTCATCTTAAAAATCAAGTAAAGGAAGAATTGGAGAAATGGCTACGCCAGGGTATCATCAGAAAGTCAACGAGTGAGTGGGCATCCCCGATGGTGGTGATGCGCAATGCTGACGATTCGTTGCGACTCGCCATAGATTTCCGGAAACTCAACCCACATGTCAACGTTGACAATTATCCGATGCCAGAGCGTGAGTCAGTCATTGAACAACTCTTCGATGCAAAATTCTTATCAAAGTTAGACCTAACGAAGGCGTATTTCCAAATGCCATTGGAAGAGAACTCGAAGCAGTACACGTCGTTTGTAACAGAGTTTGGGCAATTTGAATTTAATTGTGTACCATTTGGAATTAGATTTGCTAGTGGACTGTGCAACCGTGTGTTGAAAGAAATATTGGCAGACTGTTCAGATTTTGTTACTAGCTTTGTAGATGACCTAGTTATTTTCAGTAGCGATTTTGAATCTCATGTGGTTCATGTGCAGACTGTTATGCGAAAGCTGAAGGCCGCAGGGATAACTTTGAATATCGCAAAATGTGATTTTGGGCAGACTAGAGTGAAATTTTTGGGCTTCATTGTGGGGAGTGGTGAGATAAAGCCAGACCCTGCGAAGGTAGAAGCTGTTAGGCAATTTCCGAAGCCTGGTAGGAAAAAGGAATTAAGGTCATTTTTAGGTCTTTTGAATTTTTATAGACGATTTCTACCGCATTTGTCTCACCACATTGCTGGGCTAACGAAAATGTTATGCAAATCAGAGCTCGATGTACTATAGTGGACTAGCGAATCAACTCGGTGCTTTAAGGAAGCAGTTGAATTGTTGACCGCAGACGTAGCACTAGCGATACCTAGGCCTGATTTGACGTTCATCCTGCAGACGGATGCTAGTAAGCTGGGTATTGCCGGAGTTTTGGGGCAGGAAATAGATGGGGAGTTTAGACCCATATCCTTCATGAGCCGCAAGTTGAATAAGGCCGAGCAAAACTACTCTGTCATCGAGCAGGAATGTCTAGCAATTAAATGGTGTGTCAACTATTGTCATCAATATTTGTTCAGCAAGAAGTTTATAATTCGTACTGATCATGCGCCTCTGCAATGGTTGTGACAAAACAAGGAAAAAAATTCTAGATTAATGAGATGGGCCTTGTCTCTTCAGGGATACGATTTCGTGATCGAATACATAAAAGGGTCTGATAATCTTTTGGCTGATTTGTTTTCAAGGAATGTTAATGTACCAGAATATGAACCAAAGCGGACTAGTGTACTTAGTCAGGATCATTGTGTTCAAATTGAAGGTTTGTTTTAGGAGGGGAGGTATGTAATGATTTAACTTATTAACTTAGATTATTTGAAGCTGATATTTTGGCAACATCTCCCGAACCATACAAAATGCTTGCTTCCAAGTTTTGTTTATTTGTTGTAACTTGGGCAGTCGGCCTAATGTTGCCCATTTGTTTTATTCAAATTTCGCCTGTCACATCTAACAATTGCAAGTATACTAATTGCAAATAACACTCTGTGGAACTAACTTCATCTCAAATCTTCAACAAACGCACCACTAGGTGCATCCATGAGCTCAAGTAGAGGTGCTCTGCGCAGATCTATTGAATACTGTAATGACTGCCTATGTGAAGGGTGCTTCTATTTGCCTCCACCAGATAAGCAGTTTTTCCCTTGCCTCCTTCTGAGCCCTGCCCATAAGTGAGACATCTTGTTAGCGTATTTGCATCAAATACTGTTTGCACTAGCCACATTTGGCTGAAAGAGGCTCCAGGTTGCGCCACCCAGGCTGGACCCTCACCTTGAGTCTGGTTTCTCGTATGTGGCACAAGGTAGGGCATCCTCTAGTTACTAACTTGGGTAATTTGGCCTAGCTACGGTAATTTAATGGCATCTTCTGTTTAGTATGAACTAGTCACCAACATCTCCTGATAATATTGAATGATGTTTTATTTTGAAACATGTTGTCCCTTGATCCACCCGCTGCAAATATTTCCCTGAACATGATATTGACATATAACTCCCTAATTTTATGAGCTGTAGCTGACCAATTGACACAATGTTTATGATGCTTTAAGCTAATGACATTCTTCATGTGCACACAGTTGCCGGGACTGCTGCAGTCTCTGAATTGTGGAGCAGTCGTGTGACTGGTGGGACTGCTGTAACAACTGAATCCCCCTGCAGACGTGGAGCTACATGGACGGGTCTCCAAAGCTCCAGTAATCATCAAACAAGAAGAAGGGCAGTCGGCCGCTTGTACCTATGGTATAAGAAGTCTGGAGTACTTCCCTCCTCTGTCGCTTCGTTCCTGCTTCTCGACTCCTTTAATAAAACTACGTCTGAACCGGATTCTGTTAACCTACAAGCACAAGAAATTGAAACAGGGTTAACTATTTTGTGACCCTTCTTTACATAGGTTTTCTTTGAAAATTAGCCAGAAATTAATTATTTGCAGAAGAGGGTTGAAACAAACACTGAAATGACAGGCAATGATTGCTCTAACATATTCTTTTATCAAATTAAATTCAGTGCAATTAGAGTGCCTGCCATGGGCTGGTCCTTTCTTACCCCATGAAGGCTGCAATCCTGTCTTACCCCATTTGACTATATACCATATTCCATCAACAATACATTCCAAGCACACTTTATTAAATATTCACTATATTCCATAAACAACATATTACTTTCATGCCTTTTTCCATACACCCACTACATTCCATGTGTGCATACAAAACTGAACACAAGTGAAGGTGGTCTCAGCCCCAACACCCACAATTCTCCTCATCGACTTCCTCTTCCCACAAATCCCAATATTCGTCCAAAAACTCTTCTTCCAGTACGTGACAATTGGTTGAAAAATCTGTCACGTATACACAATTGATACTTATCAAAATCAAATCGAAATAAAAAAGCCAAATCTTATTCAAATAATGTAAGGTAAGCACCAGCAGTAGCAGTAGTAAGTATGTAGATCGACAATTCGACATGAATAAGCTGAAATCCCTCACTTTGGTTCTTGCTAATTTTGAGCGGACAATTATCCCTCCTGGCCTCAGCCAGGCGGGAACATCATCCTAGTGAACGAACTAACGCACGCATAGACATGACGATTACACCGTTAGATGCATCAGATTTGAAGTTTTAAATTCATAGCAAAAACCCAATAAGTCAAAAAATTTTATTTTAGGCCGAAACGGTCCTCTTCCTTGTGCGTTTCTTCACCCAGTATAGAATAGAATAGAAGTGTCGGCACTGATGACCCAAGGTTGCACTTGAGCTCATTATACAGCATTAAGCTCTACCCGAGGATCAGGTTACGTGACTGAGTTAGTGAAGGTAAGTAAGACACATCAGTGCAGATAACGTATCTTGTATACAGAGTTACGATACAAAGGTATAGCCTATGACGCCGCCCATAAGATCGGAGACCTCTACCGACAGGTTACATATCGAGCGTTTATCAAAATCAGCTCAACTGACGGCTACCAAAATTTTAAGGCGCATATCAGCGTTGGTCACGCTTGATCTTAGCGGTCTAATTGCAAGCAGTAGGAAATTTTCAACCTATTGTATTACAACATAAAAGATGAATAGCCTCAACTATTAGGATTCGAGTTGACACGAATTTGAAGTCGCGATTAATAAATAGATCAACATTTTACGGTTCTTCATCCATAAATTTCGGTTCTTGTATCCGATATCGACCATGGTAAGAAAAAAGCTGTCATAATCCAGCTTTATGTTGTGATTGAACATCATTTGTAAACAAAATTCAAGGAGATATGAATAAAATTGATCTACATTTAAAAATATCCGCACTTTCGCAGCCATCAACCGCCATTATAAACGATTAGACTGGATTGAAGGAATGAACATTACAAACTATGCCATTTTGGGTAACATGTAGAGGGAGGGTCCTGCGATGTACGTATAGAGAGGAGATGAGAAGTCGGCCTGCAACTGCATATAAGGTCAAGTTCAGCTGCATGTTCTTAGCCCAACCAACGGACAGTGGTGCTAGCTCTTCAAATTGAATTTAGATACTAATTTTGCAATAGTCTCACTGACTGGTTCAAATCATGTCATGAGAGATCACGTTCGTAATTCGATAGTGCGCCTAATCTTCCTGTAAGAAATTTTTACGTATTCAGCTGCAGGAAGTGAAACAACTATGACTGTTTGGTTGCGTGTAGTGACACACGAAAAGTGTTATTTCTTTCTTATTCTATCTATGAATTAAATTGCCATCTGATATTTTGTAATATCGCTCACTAACTGTAATAGTTGAGTAATTCTAATTTGAACAACTCTGTCATAAGTAACTTCGCATTAAGTTAGGACTCGAAGTGTTGTGAGGCATGTAAATATGCTTCACTTCGTCACATAAAATTGCTGTTGAATGACCCGACTGATTTATTGTAACGCAAATAACTATTTGAATGATTTAATAATTTTACTGAGGGCTTCTACAATAACTTTATTGCTGTGATGAGCATGAGAATATTAATATTATTATATTATTATTATTATAGAATATTATTATTGCTCAACTGGAGATTAAATATACGAGTACATCACCAATGCCGAAATTGCTCTTATGAATATCATAACTTCAATCAAGCTGCTTTGATAAACATGATGTTTGATAAAGCAATTCCGTCGTTGCTATAATGAGCATCGTAGCTGCCATGGTTGAACTAGTAGTTCTACCATGGTAGCTGCAATCAAGCTGCTTTATGAACACGATGTGTGTTTACACAACGCTGACATTGCTATAATGAGCGTCAGAACTTTAATCGAGCTGCTATAATAAGCACGACGCATGGTTAATCAATGCTGACTTTGCTGCGATGAGCTTAAAAATTTATATCCAGCTGCTCATCCCGGAGTAAATGCACCCACACAACGTGGGCAAGACCAAGGCGTGGGAGGTTGCACCTACACGGCGAGCGTCGAGTGTGCATGTGACGTAGAGAAGAGAGGAGGAAGAGGGAAGGGGGGCAGTAACGGGTTCTTGCAGTGTCGTCGAGGTTTAGTCAACAGTTGGTCTCGTGGCTGTGAAGTGTGAGGTGTTGAGTTAGCTTGCTCGCAGTGAAACATCTTGCTTCATTCGTTGCTTTTGATCTAAAGACGAATTATAGCAAGATGCCGTGTCTTCGCAAGTGTTGTTGCTGTTGCTGCGGCCTGAGAGAAGGATCTCTCGCCATCGGAATCATATCTTTAGTGGTGAGACGGGTCACGACGTTTGAGAATTTCGTTTTTTACATCTCTGCAAGTCCTGACTTTTTCTTGCTCTTATTTCACGTGAGCTGCACGCCGCACCTGTCGCTGCCAGTGCCGCCTTGCGCTTCATGTAGAACCTCCAATGATACGAGCCAATATGATTACCTACTCTGTTCGTTATCTTAAGAGTTGAACTCTGTTCATTATCTCAAGAGTTGAACTCTGTTTATTATCTCAAGAGTTGCTTTCTTCTAAAGAGCTCATAAGAATCTGTCTTTAATTGTAATGCCTTTTCAACTCGTCCTCTAAGTCAGTGAATCTTACAATTGAAGAGTTATATGGCGCTCTGTGATGCTGAGAGTGAGAGCTGCAGCAGTGAAGGCTCTTCCAATGATGCCATATTAGAAACAATCTTTGCGATCCTGAAGCTCAGACAATTTTTTTAATGCTAGTTCAAAAAGCATTTACGAACGGTTCCTTGTACGTGTAAGAGGAATTTTCTGGTTTCCTTGAGGTATTGGTTGCTTGATGTGTCGTTTTTATTTTAAATTGTCACGCGATTGATGGCGGAGCACTAGTGAATCCTCAAGCCATTCCCCTTATTTTCTGAATAATTTTTACCTGATCTTCCCTTCTGATTCTCGTCTGATCATATGAAATTTACATGAATTTACTTTATCTTGAATCAATCAGCTAATCGCCACTTAGCATTCTAATCATACCTTATTTATCACACCAATGAAACTAGAATTCACTTCCATCGTCAGCTGATGTCCTCCGTATGAAGGTTACTATTGTTCTTGAATAACAATGCTCTCATTCCGTAGACAAATACAGTTATGTCGTATTGGTATAGTCAAGGCACGTACAGGTGCGCCCCATCGCTATTTGATGCACGTGATGCATCAAAATGAAGAGTCTAGTCCAAGTCATGAATAACTCATCGACACCCGTGCAGCCTTTGTATTTTTGATGAGTTTCGGGCGGAACAGTCGCAGGCAGCAAGGGAGCGCTCTATGGATGCCGACAGTTCACAAGGCGCAGCCATCTCGGGCATCAAAATGGACCCATATATACTTACTTAGTGTTTATTTCTTGTCACTCAAAATTGTTTTAAGCTTTTATTGATAAATTTATTGAATTTTAGAATAATTATGAGTAACTCTAGCGAGCGTCTGGAAATGAGTTGATTAGTAGTAATTAATTCACTCTGACATTTACTGTGGGGCCCATGAACCGAATTTATGTAGGTGTCATGGGATTTTTTTTGTTTAACCAATGCACAAAAGTTGGCATCATTTTCTGTTACAAACCAAGTAACAGAAAATAATTCAATGATTGAAATAATAACGTTGTACTTAAAATAGAACTTGGAAAGAGTCTTTAAAACTGATTGGAGACCAGAGAACGTTTCTTATCAAGAATTTTCTCATTTGTATGATTGATTCTGCAAATTGCGAACAGGCCATAAGTAGCATTCTAACAGCACGTTCATTGCTCGAGCAACTCATGAGTTACCTACTCCACTAGCGGCTTCCTTCGTGTTGCTCAGAGATCGCCCAAGGCGAAAGTATTGGCTGGACTTCAATCTTGGGTCTTGGCTTCGCTGTCCATCTATTCCTGCGGGAATTACGAGGCCTAATAAAGTTTGCGGTGGTCTGGTTTTTCTTTCGTCGATCGCATTTTGTTGCGGGTAACACTTAACTTGTAGTGGCAACAGGTTGCGGAATTGCTGCTGGCAACACATACAGTGGTACACTCGCCCTTCATTGCTGCTTTTAGCATTAAACATGCTTAATGCGCTGAGCTAGAACATGCAATGCACCACCCTGTCATCTGGCGTGAACACAGATTAGTAGCCTGCTCTTCTCGCGGCGTCCATCAAATAACATAGAGACAGAGGTCAAGGAGGCAGCTAACATGCGAGTAAACCCTTATTGCTGCATGCAAGCACAGGGCAGGCCTTGAAAAAGAGGTACAAAAGCGTGTCGTACACGTACACGTGTGCGCAAGTGTGTATGTAGGTGTGTTCAATTGACCTTGCATGGCCCCCACGCTCTCTCCCCTTTGAGTCCTCTCCTCCTTCAGTTTACTGCCCAGGCTAAACTTAGGATCGATCCCTGACACTGTACGACGAAGTTTCAATCTGTTCATCTTCATGGGATGAATTGTACGTATCATTCCAATCTTCGTGTGACCCTCGTAATTTAATTGGGCCCATCTTCCCTAATGATGAACGCGCTGTCACCCCTTCACCAGGTCTGCATACCGTCCTCGCCCCAAGATTGGGCCCTCGTATGTCCTCATGGGTCTTCATACTTTAATCAAGCGAGTATCATCATATGAGGCCATCACCATTGATTCGTGGACGGTGGACGTGTTGTGTCCGTTGTGAAGGACGGGAAGCTTTCTGAAGAGGCACAGCATAATGAAGCTCTGTGCTGCACGCTGCCTCTCTGCTGCATGCTACACGCTCAGCACTGTGCTGCATGCTGCCTTCATGCTGCCTTTATGCTGCCCACTCAGCACCCTGCCATCGTGCTGCATGCTGAATTTATTTTGCACGCTCAGCATGCTGCCGCTGTGCTGCATGCTCCATTAAGGTTGCACGCTGCCGCTGTGCTGCATGCTGCCTTCATGCTGCACACTCAACACGTTGCCGCTGTGCTGCATGCTGCCTTCATACTGCACACTCAGCCCGCTGCCGCTGTGCTGCATGCTGCCTTCATGCTCCACGCTGTACTCACTGTTCACGCTGCCTCTGTAAACATGCTGTTATTGTGCCTCACGCTGTTCACTCTACATGCGCCCATTTTGCATGCAGCACACTACTGAAGGGCATAAATGCATGCTGCGCATAATGTAGCCCACATATAATGCGCATGGTGTAGGCCACATATACCGTTCGTGATGTAGGCCGTATATGTTGTTCGTGATGTAGGCTGCATATGTTGCGCATAATATAGGCCGTATATGTTGCGCGTGATGTAGATTTTATATATATATATATATGTCTTGTGTGATGTAGGCCGTATATGTTGTTCGTGATGTAGGCTGCATATGTTGCGCATAATATAGGCCGTATATGGTGCGCGTGATGTAGGTTTTATATATATATATATATGTCTTATGTGATGTAGGCCGTATATGTTTTGCGTGATGGAGGCCGTGGATGTTATGCTTGATATAAGCCTTATATGGTGTGCGTAACGGCGGCCGAATATGTTATGCTTGATGTAGGCGTGTTTGTGGAAAAAGATGTAGGCTGTATGTGGTTTGTGATGGAGGCCATTTGTGTTGTCCATGGTGTGTACCGTGAATCCTGTACGTGATTTCGGTAGTATTCACCACTCAGTGTTGCCACACACGCAGTGTTACCATTCACCACACATGCAGTGTTACCACACACCACACGAAACTCTCATGAGGAGGCAACGCTGGGGGGTCGAAGCGACCACGCCCTGATGCCGGATATCTTATCTCTTCACAAAGGCGCAAGAGCGGTGCAGGTGCGGTGCTGGAGTGGCGCAAGAGCGGTGCAGGTGCGGTGCTGGAGTGGAGCAAGAGTGGTGCAGGTGCGGTGCTGGAGTGGAGCAAGAGTGGTGCAGGTGCGGTGCTGGAGTGGCGCAAGAGTGGTGCAGGTGCGGTGCTGGAGTGGAGCAAGAGTGGTGCAGGTGCGGTGCTGGAGTGGTGCTGCAGGTCAGGATGGTAATGGTGTGATCGTGTGGTGCTAATGCGGAGCAGGTGTGCCTGTCAGTGCTAAAAGCAGTGCTACGAGCAGCGCTACCAATACTGCTGAGAGCAGCGATCCCTGAAGTGCTAGGACAAGAGTAGCTAACAAGCAGTGCTACGAGCAGCACTACTAGCAGTGCTAAGAGCAGCAATCAATGAAGTGCTAAGAGCAGCGTTACAAACAGAGCTACGAGCGGCGTTGCCAGCAGTGCTATATATGAGCATCCCATATAGCAGCGCTTAGGGTAACACTACTAGCAGTGCAAAGATCATAGTTACTATCAGGTATAGGCACAGAGGTATAGATTTTTGCATTTCTTTTACTCGTTTATTTATATCAACTTCGCCTATTACCATGATTCAATTCTTGCCATCCTCTCGCTCCGTCCCTTCACTATACTTCTCAAATATCTTTTTGCTTCCTCATTCACAGCCACAGTGATTGACTTTGATTACAATAATTACACTTACGTTGATGAACCTGCAATCATTGCCAGCTGCTTATTACATGTTCTTTCATACCTCACGCTATTACCCACATACCTCTCTTTCAGAATCACTTCAATCATAACCCACCGTTTTCTTTTACCTGCCTCATCATCAGGTAGTTCACACACCACGGTCGCGTATAAACACTCATCCCTTCGCCTCTCACTCCCTCTGTAAGTACGTCCTCTGCCCTCAGACCAAACAATCCCCACCGTTGCTACCATAATACAATGTTCATTATTTGCTATTGCTTTCACTGTCAGCAGCAATTTTGATTAGTTGATTTAGACACATAAGCGCAATTATCATCATGCTGCATTACTGCAGCATGCTACAACCTTAGTAATTTTTATCTGTGCTCTAGTCAAGTGAAAATGAACTGCTCTTGAAATGGACTCATTCTCACTTACCACTCGCCACTCATGCAGTTGACGTGGCTAGCAGTGCAAGGGCAGCGATATTTGCAGTGCAATAATCCATAATTTTATTATCTAGAATTTGTTGACGTTGATGGCAGACGATGCCACTCGTGGCCGTGGCTCTTGCACCGCCACGGGGGCAGAGTGCCAAGAGCGGTGGCCCTGCGTGACTCAGAGTGCCTCACAGCGCCACTCTACTCTCACTGTGCTACTATAACATCGTTATTGCAGACGCGATTATCATTTTTAGCGCATTTTCTCATTTATGGAAAAATGCACTATTGTGCTCGCCATGTCTGTCTGTCTGTCTGTCCGTCCGTCTGTCCGTGACCTCAAGTTTTCGTCGACGAGAAAATGCGCTCTCTGTCACTCACTGCTGTGAGTACTGAGTTATATTTTTTGTTTTAATTTATGCGATTTTGACTCGTATATATAGGGATAAATGCATATAGGCTCGTATATAAGGATAAATTTTAGATTACGGCTCGTAACAGGGATAAATACATTCAGTTATAATTTTTGTCGTGGCAAATTCGTCATGCTACGACTGACCTGGTGTAATCTAGGCTTTCCAGAGGTTGCCTTTTGCCTGCGCCTTCGCTGTTCTATCGTACGATTTAGATAAAACCGCGATCTCATTACGTTTAGGTTGCCGACTATCCCAAAGATGACATTAAGTAGCTGATAAATCTTAAATACAACTTATGTTAAAACCTTTTGTAAGTAAACTCACAGCATAAATTTCTTGAGTGAATGTTTAGATGCAGTGATAGTAAGCAGGACGCTTTTAATTACAATATAATTTTAATTATTTACATATTTATACTGCATTTTATTAAGCATGGCTGTTGCTGGTTATACTGAAGCTCATCTTGGACTCTTGAACCTACTGTCAGAAGTGTGAGAAAACTGAGCGCCTTCACAGAAAACTTTTAGTGTTGAAGATGTTCACTTGATTGAAAGGTTTCACTTTTTGAATAATTATTTACATGAATTTAAGTTTTTCAGCCAGACCTCGATTCAGAATAGTCGCTCTACTTCCAAGATACGAATTTCTCAAGGTGCTTTGAGCCAAGCGCGTGATGGAAGAAAAATGGTAGATGCTTCAGCAGAAAGAACAATGTACGGATATGAATTAAGGTATGATCTATGATCTATCTATCATAGAGTAAGATCATACCTATTAAGGTATGATCTTACTCTATGATAACATCATTTCGATGTTATCATAGAGTAAGGAAGATGAAGTCTTAAACGCCGATAGCGTGAGCGTTACCTTTTACGTTACCAGTAACGACAGGAACGGGATATTATCTTACAATTCAGGCCTTTTCAAAGCGAAGCTCTGATGCTGCTAAGAATCACTGAAGCTGAAGAACAAATAACATTGTAACGAGCAGAGATTGAGCCAATGAGGCTCAAAGTGAGCCATTGTTAGATCCTGATATCTAAAAATAAAACTCGCGAGGAGCAGGTAAGTTTAAGCTTTCTGATGCAGCACCAAGATCCGCATCAAATGTTGTAATGATTTGAATAATGCGGGACGCCCTGCGCCTGCATCTGTTGTTACCATTGCCACGACGCGTGCTGCTGTTGTCGGCATTACCGTGACGCGTGCTGCTGTTGTCAGCATTACCGTGACGCGTGCTGCTGTTGTCAGCATTACCGTGACGCACGTGCTGCTGTTGTCGGCATTACCGTGACGCGTGCTACTGTTGTCAGCATTACCGTGACGCGTGCTGCTGTTGTCGGCATAACCGTGACGCGTGCCGCTGTTGTCGGCATTACCGTGACGCGTGCTGCTGTTGTCAGCATTACCGTGACGCGTGCCGCTGTTATTACAGCAATTGGCGCAACGCCAGCCCTGATCAACGGTCTATCGCCTTAAGCATTCGTTCCTCATGGAGATGTGTTGTGGCAAGATACCTTCTGTCAGTTCATCACCGTTCGGCCTTGAGGATGTCAGAATTGTGTCTTTTACCCATCATTTGCTTGTTGTTCCTCTTCATTTGTTTGTTCCTTCTTCCCTTAGTTACTATCACTACTCTCATTTCTTTTATTCTTATTTCATCGTAGGTAATTCACTCCCACTCTCCTATGTCAATGTTTAATGTTCTGTTTTTCAGCCTTCTTCTGGACAGAAACCGTTTCCATTGTTGTACTCGTATTAATCTCTTTTTCAGTGTTGCCTATGAAGGCTCAAAACTCCAATTCCTATCAAATGAATTATGATTTCATCTTTCGTTTCAATTTTCAGGCTTTTACGTGTATGTGCTTCAATTATGTGTTATTATTGCTTTCAGGTTGTCAGCGTTTAATTTGCCTTTCACGAGTTTTATACGCACTCTCATTATTCTAAAATATATTCACTTTTCATAATTATCTTTTGATTTTTTTCTTTTATTTTAAAGTTCCCTTTTACCCTGTAATATCGTTAGTGTCCGTCTGTTCCATAGATTTAGCCCTGCTCCAAGCCCAAGGTTGCCAGTTGGCATTCATTCATGAAAACAGTTCATTTCCTCCTGTCCACATCCTACATCTTTTCATTCATGTTCATAATATAGATAATTGAACATTCATCCGTGCAGTGGAATTTGAATTTGAAAATTATGTACAAATTGTTGAAATATTTGTATTCAATTGCGATTACTATGCTTCCTCAGGTGTAGGAACTTATGGGACCAGTCCGTACATAAGACGTACGGAGACTTCTGAAACCATGAATTTTTTTTATCTGCTATGTTTACTGACTTGCAAGTAAGCTTTTGTGAGTCTAGATTTAAATTAAGCCCGGTTATTCCTGTATCCGAATCAGTCGCTACTTAGCTAAAAGAAAACACACAGTCAATGATCGAAAAATTTCGTTATAATAAAAAATGACGAATTATCTTCTATAAAGACGTGAGCGTCCATGAATAAGAATTTCCAAGTCCGGGCACTCCTGAAAGTGTGACTCAAACGGCAGGAGTTTCCTGTGCAAGTCGTGAGACAACGCAACGTCCAGCCCGCGCTATACTGCATTTTTAAAACGCAATGGCATCGTCGACGTGTGATGGCTTCATTATGTACAATAATGGCCGGTGGGTTACACAGCCATGGCCCAATGGCAATATGCACAGCAATGGCAGGTGGGCGGTACCTAGCTGTTGCTGCATGACTCGAAAGCAATTGCTGCTTGTAACAATGGCATGGAGATTAATCAAATGCAGACTTTCTTCTATCATCGATCACCGAAACTTAAGTATTCATATTTTATTAAGCCTCAGAACTTACAGCATTTACTGTAGTTGCGATTGCTGAAAGAGCAGCTTCTGTCTAACATCTGTGACCGCGTCTGTACGAAAGGGTGCAACGTCGCGCGTGAAAGTGATCCTTGGAGGTCAAGGCTTGATCAGGCTGTTGGTCCTAGGGGCACCTTGCACGATAAGTCTACGATTGTTGCTAGTTTTACGATAATCTTCAGTTTCACGATGATCGTTCGTTGTCCTTATATGTTCGTAAATTGCACGGTAATTGAGCGGAACGTATGCTCGCGCAGTATCAGCCTCAGCGTGTTTCGAGTTTCTCACTGGTAACCTTGGCACCGTTACCGATATATTGCTGACATGGCAAATTTAACTTTGCTTAATTAACGTCGCCATTAAAAATATACTGTTTTCGCTCAATATTGTCATGTAGGAAAGTAATGTGATGCTCACTGTTATTATGCAGAAAGATACTGTGCTGTATCGAATGATACTGTGTAGCTCACTGTGCCGTGTATTAAAGTGAGAGAACTATCACTATTGTTTAAAGTGAGAGAAGAACATATGACGAAACGGAATATTGTGTTTTCCGACTAACTGACAATCGCCTCACTTCACTACCTTGTATTGCTACTGATGCTAGCCTAGAGTTGCCACTGATGCCCCACTAATCGAGGGTTGCCACTTTTACTCAACTAATTGAGTGATGTCACTGATGTTCCACAAACTCAATGCTGCCTCCAATCTCCCTAAATCAAATTTGGCCCCCAGGGCATCGGGCTGGTGGAGATCGCCATTGCCATCTACTGCCTCATCAACGTGCAGGACGCCAAGAAGAAAATAAAGTTCGAGAACGCCGTCACCTTCGGCATCGTCGACAAGGACTCCGACGCAGGTTGGTTGCTTCCTCGCCTGCAGCTCATGCGGCGTCCCAGCCCCGTAATCTTCAAATTATTTTTTATCGAAGTGTAAATGTAAATGTGAAGTGTATGGGTAAAATGTTATAGTGCGGATGATCTTCAATTTTCGAGAAAATTGAGGAATAAAAGTGCAGTAAAGTTATTAATTTAGCTGTGTATATAAATTTTGAAAGTAGTAGGTATAGAGAAACACCTGGCTTATGTGCAGTTTTAAATTGGACTTAAGGGGAACGTCTACCCCAAAAATTATCTCGGCTATTTACAAACGGATCACTCTGGAACTTAGTACACATATGTAAAATAGAAAAAAACTCGCATTTTGTACTTGTGAATTTTTCGAAAAAATGAAAGAAAACGTGAAATTCTTAGAAAACGGTCAAAAAAGGGGGTACTTTTGAAATCTATCTCCTCCTAGGATTTTCAAGCTACAACATCGAGACACATATCATTCGATGCGTAAAGACCATATCTATGAAACTGCGTTGACGTTTTTTGAAATTTTTATTTTTGTGGGTGTGGGACCATTTTTCCGAAATTTTTCGATTTTTTCCCCACTTTTTACTGAATAAAATCCAAACTATAAAGAAATTAGAAAAACGCAAACACAACTTTGTAGATCTTTCATTTGCAAATCGAATGATATATGTCTTATTGTTGTAGCTTCAAAACTCTAGGAGGAGATAGGTTTTCCGTGACAATAAGTGTGAATGTTGAGGAGAGCGCGACAAAGTCCCGTGCGCACCACAATATGCGCTCAATGTAGCGTAGATACCAAACTAAACGTTTCTGGAGCTTTATTCCACTCATGGATGATGGGAGCAACTACATGCGCATCTCTCCCTACAAAGCCCGGAGGCACACTGAGTCAGACCTCACAAAAACACTATATTTGTAGTGGTGGACAACGAATTACTGTATCTCATATCTAATTACTGAAAGAACTCCCCTTCCGCCCTCCTTTCATGAAGTGTCGTGTACGTAAAAATCGACGTACAGAGATGGTAGTGGTACCATTATCATCTTAAAGGTGGTATCATCTTAAAGCTGACATTCTGGCCTATCAGGCCAGAATGTCAGCTTTAAGATGAGACTAAACACGTAACTGCAGCACAACTCAAGTACCTAGACACTATATTTAAAGAGCTCAGCAGCTAATTAGTTCCTATCTAACTACTTAAAGAACTCCCCCACCCGCCCCCTTCCATGAAATGTCGTGAAATCATAAATCAACGTAGAGAGATGGCAGTGGTACCGTTGGATAGGGCAGAATGTCAGCTTTAAAATTAGTATAAAAACCGAAAAAGTAAAAATTTTCAATTTTAGGGTAGACGCTCCCCTTAACCATGATGAGGTGAAAGGTATGGGCTGATTAAATGCTCGAGGATTATTATGGATGAATCACATGATTATGATATTCAGCAGTTACATTTTAATCAGCACTCTACGTGAGTCTTTTTATGAACTGGACAAATCTCTTGTGTATGATATTCTGCTACAGAATATTAATTACCAAATTTTTTGGTAATATTGACGAAACGTTTGAGGTGTCATATTTTAATTAAGCACCTTTTATCCATGTCTGATTTATAACCAAGGAGGCAGGGTCAGTGTTGACTGACTACTGAGATATTATTGCCATTTTGGGCAAATGTTTCCCGTGTTGAATGGATTGCGTATCAACATGCAATAGTAATCGAAATGAATGTCTAGAAATTATATATAAACTTATTATTCTATTTGCAGCGGCATACATTTTCTTCAGCATGCTGCTGCTCGTAGCCGTCATCTACGTGATCGTCTGCCTCGTGCTCATACATGGCGTCAGAAATGTGAGTGTCAACATACATCTTCATGCGAGGCATGTGAGCGTATAAGCATGACTGTTCATGCCACTCATGTGAGCGTATAAGCATGACTGTTCATGCCACTCATGTGAGCGTATAAACATGACTGTTCATGCCACTCATGTGAGCGTATAAACATGACCGTTCATGCTACTCATGTGAGCGTATAAACATGCCATTTTGTAGTAAAAATTTGTTTTCTATTTAAAAACGTCAGGGTTCTTAGAGCCTATCATTACTTGCAGGAAAACATTTCTCTTGGCTTCTAGTTTAAAAACGTTTCAGTGAATTGGAAGAAAAGCCTTCTCGTCGTGTTGAATTTATAGCCTTTCTTTTGCCTTGCAGAAAAAGCGTTTTTTGCTGCTACCTTGGGCGTTTTTCACGTTCATGAACATGATTATGGCGATATCGGGCGGCATCTTAACCCTCATCAACTCTCACGGCTACGCTCTCAACGTTACCGTTGGCTGCATCGTGCTTGCCATCGCATCAGTGTGGATATACTTCACGTGCGTCGTATTCAGCTTCTTCCAAGCCCTTCAAGACGGCGATTATTGGTGAAAGACCACGGAGAGTATTGAGGGTACAGCGAATCTCTAGGAAAAATGGATTGCAGCTTTGGACTAAAACTTTTGTGATTGTAGGTTTGAAGAAGGCAACGAGCAAAGAAACCAAATTGCTCCTACACTAATGCTGATTTTAAATGTTGCTCGTAATGAACGTAACTCCAGTTAACAAACCCAAATATCAATTATGATGTTGTTGATTAGAGAAGTAATACTTTTAAGTTTGTTGTTATGAAAATTAAATAATTTTATTCTAGGTAGTAATAAACTGTTTCGATACTTCATTCACAAATGCGGAGAAGAATTCGTATACATGTAGAAAGCGCATCTAACTTGTGCCTATGGCAGTAATATTGTTCAACGGTCGCGGAATGAGTTTGTTCATTAACGACATTCAATAGCAACGCAACGTTTTATTTGAGAGACTGCCTTGCTCACCAAAGCAAATGTCTGTAATCCTGATCAATTGTAACTGCTTCTGTTGGCAAAGAATTTATATATTAATAGAGAGATGAATGTATATTAATCGTAGCTAGATTTTGTTGTTTATCATTGGTAGAACACTGGCGACCAGGAATAGTCTTGGTCGGCAAAAATTTGCCTTAGGGCTTAGGCCTTAGGGCTTAGACTAACGTTGTAATTCAGGGACACTAATATTTGATGTCTGTTAAAGTAGTTGTACAGTTAAAATATTAATTCCGTTAAACTGTTCTGTGAAAATCATGAAAAATTTACATTTTCAATAGAATCGGTGATATGTGGCTGCACGCCATCGAGCGAGCGACGATCGTCTCGATTGTACCATTTTGATATTGTTTGCCCTAATTACAATTATTGTCGAATTAGAGGGAACTTGATGCAATATGTATTGTGCGGTGAAATTACTAACTCTGTTTACCTACTACTTGCTCTACTTAACTACCATGTTGACTACTTAAGTTTCATGCTATACTAATTTGACATTTACCACTTTAAATTTATTGTTCATTTTGAACGGCCGTTAGACGGTCCCCATGAACAGTCATGAATTGGTGCCTCGGCAATTGTGCGCTTTAATCAGTTCAAATAATGGCCTTGCTTGACGTGGTGCCTTACACCAGCTGCTCCTTAATGCGACCCGAGCTAATGAGTTGGTGCCTTACACCAGCTGCTCCTTAATGCGACCCGAGCTAATGGGTTGGTGCCTTACTCCAGCTGCTACTTAACGCTACCCGAGCTAATGGGTTGGTGCCTGACATCAGCTGCTACTTAACGCTACCCGAGCTAATGGGTTGGTGCCTTACACCAGCTGCTACTTAACGCGACCAGAGCTAATGGGCCTTTGCCGCGATCAGCGATGCTGTGGAGGTCACGTATTGTTTATGGCCGTTTTATGAGAGGCCACGGACGACCGTCGCTGATATGATCCCTACCCTGTCCTCTCTGGATCACGAGAGGCGCGCGGATTTTTTTCCTGGCTGCCGCGGTGCGGTTTTCGCTCCTGAAGGGTGGATAGCTAGAGGTCAGCATAGCCCAAGTCCACAGTGCTATTCATATACCTTCCCGAGCGTAACGCAGCCGGGCATCTTCACGGCTTTTGACACAAAGCGCCCACCACAACAGCGCCATTCAGTCACAGGCCGGAGCGCATACAGGCCGGAGCCCAACTGGCCGGAGCGCAGCAGGGCCTACCGCAACAGCTACTCCTAACGTAACGTAACTTAACCTAACCTAACCTGCGCCGCCTGTTGCGGTAGGGCCTGTTGCGCTCCGGCCAGTTGCGCTGTGGAGCAGTGGCTGTGTTGTGCAAAGCAGATTTACTGTTAGCCGGAGTTACCCACAGCTCATTGGTCTGAGGCTATTTGTAGATATTGCGCGCTGATGGTTGGCGTTAGGCCCAGGGCCTGTTTACGAGTCAATTTTGTTACTCACGGCTGCGCTCCCCTCCTGAATATTCTTGAAATTGTCAACATCCACTGAGGAAATACGTCCGGAAACTCATTACGAAAGTTTCAGGTTGCCGCGTATCAATTCGTCCATCTTTGTAACAAGCATTAGAAGAAAGTTTTCTTGTGAAAGGCATGCTTTAAGCACACAGATAAAGTACACTAGTTAATAATGCAGTACGTATATAGTTCTTTATTCACTGCCTTTTATCACAGCCGTGGCTTTGGTATGACACGGCACCTGTGGACGAAGAAAACTTGGATGTTATTTTATATGATGACTAATTTCATGTTGTTGTTTAATGTTGATATTCTTATGTTGTATGTTGCTCATGAATGTTCTTCTTACTGTATGTGTCGTGCAAATACTTTTTTAGCGTACGTGTCATGTGTGTGTAGGCACGCCTGGTGATTCTTGTCGGAAGTGCTTCTGAGTTTGCCAAATTTTGCTATTGAAGGTGGTAGGGAAAATGAGTCACTGTTCTACTGCATTTAATAATCCCTCGAGATTTAACATAAAACTGGATGATGAATAATGCCAGCATTTTGACTATTCATAATACTGGTCCGTTTGTTGGATCTTTCACTAGTCTGTGCTCTCGCCAGGTTTTGTACATAGAAATATTAGATGAAGATACAGTTTTATCGCGTGGACATGAGATAGGCTTTCTAGTTCCGACTTCTTAATGCTTTATAAAATTTGTTCATAGTAAAATTCCTTTTGTACTGCTGCGTTGAATCTACGCCGGGATTTAGCGTATGATAGTTAAATGTCAAAATGTCACTTGGAAGCATCCTAAAAGTTATTTAGCGCAAAGCGATAGCAGCAACGATTTTTTCAAGTTGACGACTAACAAATGCCTTACACGTCTTACACGCCTTAACAAATGCCTTTTACAAAAAAATAGGAAGCCTGTTTTAGTTAACCTGGCCCTTCAGCGATGTCGAAATCATTATACCAATAATAACGCGGCATAATCTAAATCCGTTGAGTTGTCTGACGTCGCCATTGTTGAGGTTTAGCAGAAAGATTTACTGAGCAAGTTGAAAATCTTAAATAAGCAGAAGCCAAATCACTGCTGTAGTCGTGGCCAATAATAGAAAGAAGCATACTACATCAATTGGTTATGATGATGTTTGAAATTGGTTATGATGATGTTATGAAATGTTTTGTAATAGAAAAAAGTTGCAGGATAACTAATTTCAAACATCATCATAACCAATTGATGTATGCTTCTTTCTATTACAATACCTCCTAAATAGAAAGAAGCATACAACATCAATTGGTTATGATGATGTTTGAAATTGTTATGATGATGTTATGAAATGTTTTGTAATGGAAAAAAGTTGCAGGATTTGGAAAGAATTGAAAGTGCTTCGCGCATAGCAAACACCCTCATCATTGCTTTCTCTTCCATGCGGGGTTTGAACGAGCAGGTGCTATTAATTTTTGACGTTCTTCAAACTCGCAAGCTTGTTAACTATAGTATGATGGTGGTCAATTCCAGCTTATACTGTTCCCTCCACGCATCCCTCAGAGGCTGGGTGACTTGAGACCACTTCCCTTGTGGATATACTCTGCTTGTTGTTGCTACATGTTTCATCTCATACATATTATTATGTACAGATGCAATTTTTTTCTTTAGTGTATCAAACATTCTTTATTTTCCTATTATTATGTACGTCAGGCAATATGTTTCCATTTGAAATACTATACCATCTGACGTATTTTATGACGGATCATTTCAGTGTTGGAAATTCTATTCAGAAACCTCCAGTACGAACTAAAATTTTACATTATTGGAATAGGTGCAGCCCATACATGAATAAATTAGAATATTTACTGGTTGTATCTCATTCATCCGTAAACTTCGAAAACGAACCTTTGGTGTAAAAGTTCTTGCTTAAAATGCTTGCATGAGCAATTACGAGCTTCAGAGAAGTTTTCTATTGAAGTTTATTAAATTGATTCACAAGTGAGAGAATTCGGTCCTCAACGGCAATTATACCTATTAAACTACAGCAATTTCTCTCTTTTCCAAGGCGTCCCAGATTGACCACACCCGAGAAATGTTTAATTTATTCGGTTTATTTCTTGCTTAAGTTGCTTTAAAAAAGATTTACTAATTAGAAGCAGTCCCAGATCATATCAGCCTCCTTAAAGCCCCACAGTTTTCATTAATCAGTATTTAAATTACATTGCATTAAAAATCGCCCAACGCAATTTAAAATATTTTTTCTATTATATGAATATGCATCATAGATCACATGCTTTCAGTCTCTCCGATGCCATGGAAATGTTTGGCTAGGAAAATGAACTCGATTATTAGTGGGCGTTTTCTACATTCCGCCTCCGCCCTAAACGGACCGCCAACAGCTGAGATCCTCCCAAAAACAGAATTTTATTTTCAATACCGGTTGAGACATCGCCGCCGTCGCGTAGTACCTAAGGCTAAGTGGTAGAACTTATGCCCTTATGGTGTATTTTGTTGAGGAGATAATTTCAGAAAATTAAAACCGTGAAAACAAATCTTTAGAAAATAGAATTCAAGTAGGCAAATAGTCTACGTTTTGTAAGGAAATAGGATTAGTTGTTTAACTTAACTTCAGTAGAACAGGCACTAACTACTAAGTGGTACTGGTGGGCAAGTGCCACTGTGCCTGAGAGGCATAATCTAATCCCTGAGCGGGCTGAGCCTAACATTCTCTAGACTCTAGAGTCTAGCCTGAGCCTGGTTACCTGGTACTACCAGAATATGCTGTGATTGGTTATCAGCACTTCCAGGTCACTGAGGTCAGATTGTTCATAGACCAAGGCTTCAAGCATGCCGCATGGCAGTGTCCACTGTCCAGTGTGGAGGGTACCAAAACTTGGGCGATCCGCGGTTGGGTGCTGGGCCTCAATGCCGTGGCCTGTAACTTGATAACTGGGTTCTGGGGAAGGACTATAGCCCCTTTCACACAGGGCAGTAGATACTGTGCGCGTCAAAAATGCCGCGGCAGTATTTATTTACCGCGCAATCTTTCACACGAGGCACTTTTTACTGCTGGGATCTATCAGTCTTGCAGTGCTTTATGCTTCATCAGTCCATCTCTATGTTTATATAACAATATTTCTATATGGAAATCTATCTCTACGTGAGAATAATGTAAAGTAAATACATCTCTATGGAAATACCTATATATTTTATGGAAAATATATCTTATATGAAATATATCTCTATCACTTCAAGGATATATATATTTATCAATGTATATCTTTATCATAGTGACAAACAAGAGATTTTTTACAATTAGTTCATTTTTAATTCCCTCATTTACTCAAGATTTTAACCAATTTCTTATGCATGATAAGTCTGGTACCGTAAAATGGGGTTACTTTGACCGGCGGGGTAACTTTGACCACTTTTCATTTTTTTAACAAAAACGTCTAAAACTCAAAAATGATTTGACATAGAAAAATTTGGTCAATGGCCATCAAAGGCCTAATACTGAGGCTACGTAACACAATAGAAAGATTTAAAAAGTTTGCATATCTAATAGGTTAAAAAATTAATAATGTGACCCACAAAAATGAGCTATTATTTAAAGCCTGTCAGAGTACCCCCTCCAATTTTTTTATTTTTTGGTAAAATAACTCCAGGTTTTGATGCATTGTAGTAGAACTCTTCTAGTTACATATGCAAAAGACAAATTTTAGGAAAGTGTCATAGTTTGCAAATGGAAGGGCGCCGCCCCCCAATGGGGTAACTTTGACTACCTAATGGCAGCCGTGATGGGGTAACATTGACCAGCTTGGAAATAAAGTTAAAATTACCATAGGTACCTGTATAACATATTTTATGTTTGAAACACCTATTAATGTTTTTTTTCTTTATGTTTCAGACTCTACAGAGTCTTATATATGGTAATTTTAACTTAATTTCCAAACCGGTCAATGTTACCCCGTCACAGCTGCCATTAGGTGGTCACATTTTGCCCATTGCCCCCCATTTGCAAAGAAATGCAAACTATGACACTTTCCTAAAATTTGTCTTTTGCATATGTAACTAGAAGAGTTCTACTACAATGCACCACAACCTAGAGTTATTTGGAGTTATTTTACCAAAAAATAAAATTGATTTTACCACTCAGTCAAAGAAACCCCAAGAGCTGGGGTAACAAAGACCACCACTTTTTTTGAAATTACATCAAAACTATGAGAGGCAAGAGCCAGCAATTTATGGTGAGTAAAGCTTGAGTATAGACCTGTATTTTGCATGTTTCAATTCAAGTTTAACTTATCTAGTAAAAAAATGGCATCATTAAGAAAAAAAAGTGGTCAAAGTTACCCCATTTTACGGTATCCATAATACTTTACTGGTCTACTTATAGCACTCAAAAATGAACTTGAAGGAGAGTCTGTAGCGGTCTAGTTTAATATTTAAGATTTTGTATTAAGAAATGAAAATATTTAGAAATCTAGAATTAGATTTAATTGTAATATAAAGATTTGTTTATATCTGAACGTAACCACAGCTGAATACGACAATAGCCAACTTCATTCCAGCTTTTAGTATTTTCGATATATTGCACTAGAACCTCTTATTAGAGTAAGTACTAAAGTGCACAT